GTTACCGAAGCTGAGCAGCAAACAACATTCGCAACAACAACAGTCACTGATTCAGACAGAACTGAATCTCAATCTACAACTGATTTGGACAAAAACATCACCGTTACCACGGGAATCAATGGAAGTTCTGCTTCACTGATGATCGCAATTCCAGTGTCGGGAATAGTTGGTTTTATCTTTGGAGCTTTGTCATTGGTTTTCATACAAAGGTAAGAAGTAAAATAACACATAGTAGCAATATTTTCCTTAAAAAAATTTTACTTTGTATATTGTTTTTGAGTATTGTTTTGAGAATATAGTGCCAGTTGAAGGTTCCATGAGAATGTGGTTGAACAATAGGCTAATAAATATTTTTAATAATTTCATAAACCCAGGTATTGCATCCACAACAATAAGAAACTAAAGAACAAAGATTCAATGGAAATGGGAAGCATTCGAAATCAGCAGTCAACTCACCAAGAAAAAACAACATATGAAAACTACACACCAACGTCAGATGAAAGTGGATATGAAGTTCCGAATCAAGTTGATAACAAGTATGAACAAAGTGGATATGAAGTTGCGATTCAAGTTGATAACAAGAATGAACAACAATATGAGGTTGTGAAAAGTGGACAAGAGTATCAATATGAAAATGTGTAAATGAGTTAAATGAATTCATCAAAACTATGTGATTTTGAAAGATATAGAACAAAAAATGAGTTATGGACATCTCTCATGAAGAACTAAAACATTTATTTATTGAAGTACATTTAATTCTGACTTCTGACTGCAGCAATAACAAATTTTGGAAAATTTTATAACTTATTATATTTTCTTAATCTTGTCATTTTTTGAAATAATATATGAAGGATAGGGTTTTAAACTCCTACTAAATATGAGTAGGAAGTCTAATAATATATTTGAGTGTCCATAAAAAGCAATGTTCTGAGAGGAATTGTCTGTACCCCTTCTTGTCATATTTTCGCATGCCAGCATTTGATGAAACTGTGCTCATAATGAATAAAAATGAACAATAAGATTTCTGGATATCTTAAAAAAAAATAAATATATATATTTTACCTATTTGGCCCTTTTATCTTTCCTGAACTAGTAAGGGTTAAGTAATGGAGTCAAGCTCACAATTGAGTTATAAAAGCTATCATCTAGCCATCAAAAAAATATGAACAAAAGTTGTTGTCATGTAACATCGAAACTAATAAATTTAGGTAACTGTGATAGATCCACAAACCACAATGTAGAAGTTTCACCTTCAATAACATTTTTTAGTAAAAAAATTTTTTTCAAAAATAATTCTGTGTTTGGAATGAACTTCATGAACTTCCTCCTAGCTGTATTCCCAATAGTGTTGTGCTAAATTGCTAATATCAACGGGAATTTGGAAAGGGATAACCATATCCGAACTCTGCATTGGCAACTTACGCTATATTCAATAGTCTTTCAAAGTTTTGGGGCTTGAGCCCTTCCTCTGATCAAAGTTATGAAAAATATGTAATGTCTCTTGCTATATTACTACTATTATGCATTTATAATATTGTGTGTTGACTGTTGACCGAAGTCAAGATAAAAACAGACTGAATATTTCATAACAAAGAAAAAAGATAAACCAATAATAAATGCTTTAATTGCTCAAATAGATAATTTTCACATGAAAATATACTAACTTATTTCGTTAATTCAAATATTTAAAAATATGGAATATATTTATTTTCGAATCAATTTGAATACTGGTAATTGGTTTTTAGACATTCCAGGGACCTACCACTTTCAAAATAATATTTGTGACTGTTTCTGCATGTCCTTCTAAAACATCTTAGTGATTTGTTTAGTTCAAACCATAATCAGTTTGCTATTGTTTAAATAAATCCTTAATAGAAATTTATCATAAAATATTGAGTTTTTTGCATATTAATATAAAAATTACCTTTTGATAATTGGAATAAGAATTACAGGCTCAATTTCAAGCACTATCAACCTAGTGCTGAACATTATTAAACAATATTTAATGGGAGTCACGACATAAGTATTACGACACCAGGAAATGCTGTGATTACTTATTCGCCCACGACTATCGCAGTTTTAAAGCAGTTAGTAGTATGGGATAAGTTTGAAACTGAACTTCAAATGAAATTTAAAAATGACTGAAAAAGTTTAGTTGCAGTAATCAAAATTTGACCTGAAAAGCTGCGATAAACCAAGATAACTAAAATTATTTTCGATATTAGTACTTTCAAATAATGAGTGGTAAAATATTTTGCATGGGAAAGATTTTTTCTGGATTCAAAGGTCCGGTGAACATCCATTTTTTTCAATAAAAATAATGTATGTCAGCCAAATTGCTATAAAGCAGTGGCATATTTTATTCTTAACTTCATGCAATATTATTTGAAAGTTGCGGAGAGTCATAATTATGATAATCAACCCACTTCTCGCATCAAGGAAATGATCAAGTAAAAGCCAAAACAAAAACAATAGAGATGAAGAATTGAATAATATTAGGAATTGGAACTCATACCTACAATTAAATACCAAAAATGAAACAGAATGACACATTCTTGAATATTGAAAAACTTATGCCTGCAACCAAAGTCTGTTCTGCCTTCACTTAGGAAGAATTATTTATTCAATTCATAATGAAAAAATCAAAGTCTTAAATTCTCAAATATAAATGCTTGATTGGTAAGTTATTCATTCTTTTATTTGTTTTTCAACTATCCATGAAATAATTACATTGCCGGAGTGGAAAATGGCAGCCTACAACTGTCATCTTCAATGTACAATCTTATGAAAGTTACTTAATTTTGCATCGAACAAGGCTCAATATAAGCATCCAGTGATAGTTAGTGATAGGTGTGGAATTGCCTACACCAGGGGTGGCCAACACCTCGATCGCGATCACCCCAAAACAAACCTACTTGCAACCCCTAAATTCATTGTGTTTTCTGCGTGTAATTTTTTACCAGAACGTATATTCCCCACTTGCAACCCCTAAATTCCCCACAAGTGAGGAATTACCCACCGATTAGGAACCACTGGTGTAGAAGGTTAACTTTCATATAGACAACATAAAGACACCCTGCTATACATTGACTTATGATTGGAGCTGAGATTATTTGAGAAAAACTGATTTTCTAAATTCATTGTTTCCTTTCAAAATTATTCATAAAGAATTGTTGATATTAGGGCTATTCCAAGTGACACTACAGGACAATTCTAGAAGTTTATATGTTGTTAGATGCAATATATTTTTACATTTCCAGCTACATGTTTTGTTTCATTGTCCAATCAGTTGCTTTATTGAATATGGAAAAAATTGAACAAAAGTTACACACAAGACTTACTTAGTAGATATAAAAAATATAGTAAAATAGAGCGTGAGACTACAGTACGGCAAATCCACCATGCATTAACGTTACATTGTGTTGTGTTGTAAATTTTTGCGATGGTACAGCAGGAGCCTAAAATATTTTCTGGTGCAGTAGCTGAAGGCCCCCTCTATGTGTTGCTCAAGTTACTTAATGTTACACTGTAAATCCATGCCAATAATGTGCATATTGTATGTGATACTACAGGACGTGACACTACAGCAGGGGTGCACAACTCAAATGAGGACTTGTGCCAAATTTTTCTAAATAATCTTGTTGCGTGCCACACTAATCGTTGGTATTGTAAATTAACCCCCGTAAAACACACATCAGACAAATTTTAATATTAATATCGAATATCTATTGATTGGAACAGTTTAATGTCTTGAACAACAGCTGATTTTGATATAAACGTGATATTTTAATGTATATCATGAATACAATTTTTTTTTTACAAAACCGTTCGCGTGCCACGTTTGAGCATATGACGTGCCAAATTTGGCACGCGTGCCCCGTGTTGTGCACCCCTGCACTACAGGACATTTTTCCACTTCAGAACAGCGGTCCCTATCATCTCCTAAATTCTGGTAATAAATCGTTAAATGGGTGGAGACATGTCCTACAGCACTGCAAACATTTAAACTTTATTAACCTAAACCCAGTGCGTCCATTTCATATGAAATAACTGTATCAAACAATCAACACTTTGTGTCACGAATCATCACAAAATATGTTAATTATACCAAAATTTCTACATTTCAGGCCATTTTTTTTAAACCATCAAAAACCTGGGTAAAATTTTAACTTTTTCTGAGAAATGAATGCAGTCCAATAAAATTCCAATGTCTTTTGATATAAAAAATACAAAAAAATTACTTTCACTACACTTTAAAAAAAATTGATGGAATTCAACTTTTGCTTGGAATGGCCCATTAATAAAAAAATTATTCTTAGTGTAAGAATATCTGAAGACATACTTCCTGATAGACAGTTGACATTTTGTCATTCTGATACTTTCTTCGCCTATGAGCTATGAATCATAATTCAACTTCCTGTATTCCAAAGTCTATACAATGAAACAAATATCTCATAAAGTCTTAAAGATGACTAACTTCCTTTCCAGAAGGTTTTCCAAGCATTTGACAGTTTCTTCACCCATGAGTAGTAATGCAACATTTTGTATATCCTATCAATGGTGATATATATGACATACTGAAAGATAACTATAGTCAGAATAAGAAGAGGTTGATACTCATCATCAGTAGAGTTCTGAGTTGGCACAAATTGAATATGCATTGTTCAAGAATCATCATAATAATACACATCAAGCAATAGCAACTAAACTGTTTCAAACCAGTTGGTCTATGACCCAAATGTCAGATTTATAACAAGAAAATTGTTATGCTCTTATATGGATGACGACATTACGAGATGCCAAGATAATACTTGTCAAGATATACGTTGTAATGCTATTTCACCCAAATTTTTAAATTTAATAATAAATATAAGTCAGTAATCCTTACGTAGTAGTAACCAGGGAGAACTGTTTCATAGTTACTGATTCACATTAACAAGGAGAGATTCTGAATATAAATCAGAAGCTTGTTGCATCAAGTGTCTCAGGTCTCTTATTTTATCAGTTAGATTTTGTCTTTAGCTATGTTAGTACTGTGTAAGGAATTGAGTGATTGAAAACACGAAGCAAAGAGTAGTTCAAAGAAGTTGCTGAAGATAAACTCAACATGTGGAAACATTCAAAACTCTTGAATTGCAATTGGTTGTTTATGCAGATAATTGGTGAGATCTTACGGTACATGAATAGTTACACATCATTCCAACCGGGGGAAGGGATAACGGTATTTAAATAATTTGTTATTTGAAATAATTTCCAGCAATTATATGTTCAGTCATTCTATATAGATTGTTTCATCAAAGCATGATGAACTGCATAAATATTGATTACCATCAATGTACTTGAAAATCAAATTTTATACAATAAATGCAGTCTTTTAAAATTTAAATACCTTGAAAATATTCGTCAGATAAATTTCCCAATGTTAAAAAACTTGAATAGTGAACATTTAGCTTCAATGTCATGGAAAAGACTTATAAAACTTGTGAAAATCAAATTTGTATTTTTAATTATGAGTCATTTTTTACAGCACTTGAAATAGGTCTCAACGAGGCAGCACAGTGCACTGACTGTCCAACTACAAAACTTGGAACAGAAAGCAAGAGTATCACATATGGACCAAGTATTGAATACAACTGCAACTGTGATTGGACAATACCAACAAGTATGCCCACAGATCATGAAACAGCAGTTGTTCTGTTGTTACAAAATGTTTCATTGCCAACGATAAAAACTGCTATTGGATATACACTCTGCTCTGGAAGTATCAGATTCCCAAGTAAGTATTCAAAAGCATAAAAGCAAAATATATCGAGCATTAACAGTATACTTTGTGCAGGTGCTGATGGATATAAATGTGATTTCAAAACCAATTACTGTCTTGCCTTTACAACTGAATCCACCATTTGCAACATCAACAGAATCAGAGAGAAAATCCCAGTTGCAAATCACATCTGTGATTCAATCATTCCATGGAATAAAGCTGGAGGAAGTCCGTACAAGATCGAATATATTGCAATAAACATTGCTTATCAAACAAAACATTTCACAATACAATATCATTTAGTAGATTGCAGACTATTAACCACACCTATGCTATGTGAGTTATTCTTATATTTTATATGATGCCTATTTGAGCCTTTTGCTCCGCTTGGACCTGTTTCAAGCAGTCATTGACATTGGGATATGTGTAAAGTTAATATTATTGGAAGAGCCAGAATCTTTCCAGATCGACATTGTCAATTATATTTAGAGAGGAATGGGATTTGAAGTTGGGATGTGTAATCTGCAATGCCAACACAATGGAGTGTAACCCAATTTTAGAACATGGGATTTGAACTTTTATTACAAAACTTTAGCCACAGCATCAGAGCAAGAATCAACAACAAAAGGATCAGCTCATACTAAATATACATCATCCCTTGTGAAGCAAAATTCTGACTCGACCCCTGAATCCAGCTGCCAAACATCACTGATCATTGCTACTCCAGTATCAGGAATTATGGGTTTGATTGCTGGAGCTTTGTTGATGTTCATTATACTAAGGTAAGCATAGATATTGTATATTAAATAAATGTCAATGGAAATGCATAAATTTACAAGTACTCCAAAAAAGTACAGTACAAAAAAAAATATTACCGGCAGACTCCAACACCTGCCTCAGCACAGAGTTGACAAAATTCCAATTCAGATTTGAAAAAAATTCAAACTCAAGCTCAGCAACTCTTGTATAATGAAATATTTGGTATGAAAATGTTACAATTTGCGAACTTCCAAGTTTTATGATATACTTTTTGACAGATTATTTTTGACTCTTGTATTGAAAATTTATAATAACTACAGTTTCAGATCCAATTCCATCTAAAAATGCCAAGTAGATCCAGTGAGACAAAGAAGCAGATATTAAACCAAATACATATATGTATCAACTACGGTAACTTATATTTTTATCAAACACCAGGTATTGCAACAATAACAAGGAACCGAAAAACAAAGATTCAATGGAAATGGGAAGCAGTCAAAATCAGCAGCCAACTGTCCATGAACGAACAACATATGAAAACTACACACCAACAGCAGATGAAAGTGGATATGAAGTTCCGAATCAAGTTGATAACAAGAATGAACAAAGTGGATATGAAGTTCCGATTCCAGTTGATAAAAAGAATAAACAAAGTGGATATGAAGTTCCGAATCAAGTTGATAACAAGAATGAACAAAGTGGATATGAAGTTCCGAATCAAGTTGATAACAAGAATGAACAAAGTGGATATGAAGTTCCGATTCAAGTTGATAACAAGAATGAACAAAGTGGATATGAAGTTCCGATTCAAGTTGATAAAAAGGATGAACAACAATATGAGGTTGTGAAAAGTGGAAGCCAATATGAAAACACATGAATGAATGAAATAAATTCATCCAATACATTTGAATTGAAAAAACTCACTTATTTTGGGGTAGAACCAAATTATGGACTTCTCTCATGAACATTTATTTATTCAAGTTCATGTCATTTTAACTGCAATGGCATTTAGTAATTTACTTACTTACTTTATTGCATAGTTTATTGCACGGCTACTTAACTGGCGGACTGTGGTCCGAATCCGGACTTTTCGGGTATTCAATTCGGACAGCATTCAATTGTTTATTTTGGATCGTTAGCCCCACTTTTGAAGTTTCCTTCTATAAAATCAGTTTTATAGATTTAAATATCTATGAAAAGAACTACTAGATAGCGATAGGAGACCGCCGACTTATCACACTCAGGGGATTCCCAAAACAGAAACTGTGGTTACGATTCCTTCACTATGACTCAATAGCGACACCACGTGTCCCATCACTAATAGGCTTCTGTTCCGAGATATGATGTATGCACATGCAATTTGGAGCAGATTCAACTTCGCTTTTTGAGATATCGCGTAACATTCGAAAGTGTCTAACAGACAAACAATCAGACAAATACCTTACTGATAAGTATGATCTACCTTACTCAACATACTTACTGATCAAGATCGATAAGTAATAACACCATAATAATTTCTAGAAAGACCCAATCTGAATATTTTTGAAGTTTTGTATGCAAATCTTCGATAAACATAGTTGGTTTATTGCATTTGAATATTCTGTTCATAGTTTTAATTATTATTTTTTCACGTGATATAGGTTCATGAACATAAGGAATAGGGTTAGGAGTTAGGCAGAAATATGAGATAATGTTTCAATTTTTACTCATGGTGACTGTGAAGTAAAAAAGCGTCCAGATGCAATGCTCAGAGTAGGCTGTCTGTCCCACTTCTTACATATTTTCTGATTACCAGCGTTTAATGGAACTGTGCTCACCATGAAAGCAAACAGAAAAGTTTTTAAATGACTGTGTTTTTTTTATTTACCAAAATATAAAGCCATAATAAGGGTTCCACTTTTCAAACTTTTTTTCAGTTTTGCAACAGTTTTCCATGTTGTTTTACTTTTGGGTTGACCTCCTTCCAGATGTCCCTCTGACAGCATGACATTGAATTGTTTCTGACCCTATGTCAACTGCTATCTACTGGAATCTCTGTGACAGGGATCGGACCCTTGCTTTGATTAAAGTTATGAGAAATATGCAATGCTCCTATAGTATTACTATTTACTACTACTATGCAATTATAATATTGTGTGTTTACTGTTGATAGAAATAAAAAAAGAGAAATAGTTATTTAAATGAAATTATCTTAACTGATTCGTAAATTCAATAATTCAAAATATGAAATATAATTATTTTCGAATCAATTTAAATATTCGGTTCTTCTTGGGAACTACCAGTTTCAAACTAAAATTTCTGCATGTCATTTTAAACCTGTTCCATTTTTTAATATTTCAATGTTTTTTTGCTCAAATTATATTTAATTTGCTATTGTTTGAATATACAATCGACAAATTTATTGTAAAATATCGAGTTTTTTGCATATTGAAATAAAAATTTGATTTTGAGAATTTGGACAACAATTACAGGCTAATTTAAGACAAATGTCGAAGTAGTGCCAAACTTAAGTAAACAATCCTTCCATAGGAGTCATAACTCATAAGTATACTGTATAACGATACCAGAAAATGTTGTGATTACCTCTTCACCCACGAAGAGAAAAAACAAGGGATAAAAAAAATAATATATGAAGTGAAATAATTCATAACCGAGAAAGTCCAACCTTGGTCAGACGAAACATTACAGAAATATATTGGTGTCAGTGTTCAGCAAGACTCAGGTTATTTATAATAATAATATTAATTTAATGTCAAACAATATCGTACTATATGTTCCTAACATTGTAGTCATAAGTATCATGACACCAGGTAATGCTGCAATAACCTATCCCGGCCACAAAGAACAAAAACAAGAGACTTACAACAAAAATAGTTTAAGAGAAATCATCTAGGTTAATTGTAATAATAATACTAATCGAATGTAAAATATTATTGTTCAATCTGTTTCTAACATTGGAGTCATGACTATAATGACACCAGGTAAAGTTGTAATTAGCTATTCGCCCACAAAGAACAAAAACAATAGACTTAAAAAAAAATAATTTAAGAGAAATCACATAGGTTAATTGTAATAGTAATAATAATCGAATGTCAAATATTATTGTTCAATCTGTTTCTAACATTGGAGTCATGAGTATCATGACACCAAGAAATGTTGTGATTAGCTATTCGCCCACAAAGAGCAACAACAAGAGACTCACAACAAAAATACTATATGAAGTGAAATAACAACTATTGGATCATAAGAAAGAGTGTGAGCTTGGCTATTGCAGCTGTAAAGCAGTATAGAATATGTATGTATGAAGTTTATAAGAAAACCTGAATGGAATTTGATATTATTCAAAAACCAAAAAAGATGAAATCAATTTGTGGGAGCTTATATTCGTTTTAGAATATCTCTTTACTGTAAAAATTTACAAATTAAAGCCCACAAATTTTCAAAAATTACTTTTATAAATAGTGATATTCAAAAATACAGTACCAAATACAAATCTTTTATCACTCAGTTATCATACTAATGAAAATTAATAAGTTGTTGTAAAAGCTGTCAATGATTTAAACTGATTTAAGGCTCAAAAGACAGAAAGCTTAATGCAAGCAAACAATCTCTGGATAATGGATAACATTTATAGGTGGATTTTGGTCATATCAGGTGAGTTCTTGAGATATTTAATGAAGAAAAATGTGCATTCTTTTTTATTTTTTTTCTAAAAATAAATCTAACTCATAAATATTATTGTAATAATTTTTATTAAATGTTATGCGTGTCCAATCTTTAAAGTACATGTTCTTGAAAAGAATTAAATTATCGCCACTCAATCCTCTCAAAGCAAAATTCTCTCGGAGCAGACCTGTGTCTCATATCCAGTTTTTCACCAAGAGTGTGATAAATTAGGCAGTCAATGCCGAACTGGAAATATTTAGTCTTTCTAAAAAAGTAGCTTCTTACATATCATTAGATATCTGTGGCTGCTTGTGTAAAAAGCCTTGTACAAAATGGAAGGGGTAAATAAAAACGACTCATAAGCTTCTATATTGTCTGGGATACGGCATTTTTAACAAGTTTATTTCAAGCCATGTCTTAATTATTTTTACAAAATTTGAAGTATCTAAGCTTAGAGTTGACACCATAAATAGTCTTCTAATTTAAGCATGTTCAAAGTCTTCGCGTTCAAGCATTCAAAAGTATCAATCACAAAGCAACCTCTACACTAAAACAATACAATTATTACAAACTGTATGGGGCCCAGTAGTTCACAAACTTTTCAAGTCGCGGCCCCTTTCAGAATTTGTCAGGTCTCGCTCCCCACCTCAAAAATACCGATATTTCATTCAAATAACACGTTCAAAATATGTGGATGGAACATAGATATCCAAAATGAAGAAATGTACAAAATATCCAAAATTAGGTGGGTAAGATCAAATCTAATATTTCTATTTTTAATTAGCCCACACCCCATAAAAAAATTGTCCATGTCCCCCTTGTGGGATGCGCATCACAGTTTGTGAAACACTGGTATAGGCTCAATATAATATTAATTAAAGCTAATGAGTAATGACACATTTCAACTATCAAGCTCTTTATCATAGCCTGAATGAAGCAGCAACATTCAATGACTGCCTAACAACAATACTTGAAACAGAACTATAATATCACATATGGACCAAGTAACAAACTGGACTGCTGGTGTCATTGGACAATACCAAAAAGTATGAACACAGATCATGGAACTGCAGTTGTTTTGTTGTTACAAAACGTTTCACTGCCAATAGATACCAAAACTAGCAGTTCGGCAGAATGTTCGGGAGAAATCAGATTCCCAAGTAAGTAAGTATTGAATTGTTGAGAATTACCGGTAGTACAAAATACCCAATTTGAATATACAATTTAATATACAGTTATGCACTTATCACAGGCACTGATTCTCACAAATGTAACTTTGCAAGAAACTACTGTCTTGCATTTGCAACTACATCAACCATTTGCAACATCCGCAAAATCAGAGAGAAAATTCCAGTTGCAAATCACACCTGCGATTCAATCATTCCATGGAATAAAGCTGGAGGAAGCCCATATGAAATACTATACAATGCAAAAAACCTTTTTGGTTACACAAAATACTTCACAATACAGTATTTTGTAATTGATTGTGAAGTATCAGGTGAATTTCTAGTAAAATAAACATCCCAATTAAAAATATTATTTCCTGTGATGGTGTGCGGATAATACAAAAAGCAAAACAATTTCTGTCAAAATAATTATCTTCTGGGTGAATAATGTATATTATCTTGATTGATGGATTAAATTTCATTATTGAATAATAATGAACTACTTTCTGAGTATCAAAAAACTACTGGTAAATATCTATTTATGGAACTAGATATGGGAATTTCCAAGTTACCGTAAGTTGAGTTAGGTTTTCCAAGATAACAAAAACAAATAAAATATCAATGCACAGGTGGACAGAGCACAAAGCACAGAAAAAACTCTAAAAAATAACACGAGTGGCGATACAAGTGAGTGTGAATAAAATTTTTCTGCAGTTTATTTTAAAATTAAATAATACCCGAGTAAATGCAGAACACAGAACAAACCTACTTTTCCTAACATTAAGAAAACGCTTCAAAGCAAGAACCTAGCGCTTGAAGCGTCAGACTTAACTCTGTTGGCATTGCAGATTATAAACCCCTCACCTGCACTGCAGGAATGAAAAAATTATGATACTTCCAAATAATCTGATCTCCTTACATATCGTGAGATATCAGTGGTTTCTTGTTCAGGACCTTGCTCAGAGTGAAGGCATGAGTAAGCATTATATATGAAAAAGTATTCTCACAATTGAAATTATTATTTTAACAGGTGGTGATCACTCACAACACAAATTCAACTTTTGAACTTTTTAAATTTAGAAAAAAG